ATAACATACCTTCAACAGATTTAGCACACACAGAGTAGAACCTCTAATAGCTGCCCTGTGTAAAGGTGTCTGTCCATATTTATCAGCATGGTTAAGTACTGCTATCACGTCCTGGTTTTGCTCTGCCATAGCTTCAACCAGTAGACTTGTGATGGACACTGGATCTGATAGACTAGAGTCGGTGTGTCTACAATCAAAATACGAAAATATTTTCATTCTTTCGTTCATTTCTTCGTTCTTTTTTTGTTTGTTCATACATTTGTTCAACTATTGATTCACCCAATCTTTTTCCCTGAAACAGTAAATTGTCGTTTATATCGTTCATTCATTCAATCTTTCGTTCATATATTCATTCATTTATTCGTTTGCTCATTTTTTTTTGTTCGTTCGTTCATTCATTCATTCCATCGTTCATTCATTCATACATAGCGGTTCGAGAGAACGAGCAATTATTACTTCCAGCGTGATCAACATAAAACATATTTCATCCATTTATTCATTCATTTATTTGTCTTCTTCCATCCTCATTTCAGCTTTTTTCATTCGTTCGTTCCATCATTCATTCAATCGTTCATTCATTCATTCATACATAGTGCGGGTTCGAGAGAACCAGCGTGATCAACATAAAACATATTTCATACATTTATCCATTCATTTATTTAACCTCTTTACATCCTCATTTCGGCTGGATTACGCTGGTAGACGTTATAAATATATCTTACCTCCCAATTTTGACGAAAGCATAGTGCAGTGGAATCCTCCCTCCAAAGTCTCTTGCAGCAGTATTAGCTCCATACTTCAACAACAAATCTTCCAGCTCTGTCAGAGTCTCAAAACCTCCAGTTGTTTTATTAACCGTATAATGAAGAATGGAACGACCTTTATTGTCTATGGAGTTGACTTGTGCTCCTGCTTCTAGAAGAGTCTTTGCTAACCTCAAACGTTCTCCAGAACTGTCTGTCGATCAAGCAAAGAAACCGGTAAAAATGCAATAAAAATACAAATACAGTGGCTCTTCATCCCATGAAATTCCAATTGGAATTTGGAAGTTAATTTTTGAAGAGGAAGGAAGATTGGAGAACCTGGAGAAAAACACTCGAAAAGCAGGAGAGAACCAACAAACAACTCTACTCACATTTGACACCGAGCCCAGGGAACTCCAACCGGTTGGTTGGTGAGAGGTGAGCGCTCTCATCGCTACGCAACCTGTGCTCTGTGTAATGTTTAAGGGCTCAAAGGGTATAAACAAAAAAAAAACATACCTGGGTCATTAGCAACWGCATGAGAAAGAGCACTACGACCATCCTTGTCAACCAAGTTAGGATCTGCCCTCATTTGTAGAAGACAGAGTGCTTCATCATACTGTAAGCTTGGTCTAGAAAAGGAGTTCAAATTGGTTAGTGATGATGTTACTCATAGTTTGAGAGAACATTCAAGCCTACCTTACCTGCATGCCATGATAAGAGGAGTGGCAAAGAGATCTCGTTCATCTTCAGAGAGTAGGTTCACATCGGCACCTCTTTTAACCTATGTAAGATTAAAACAATTATTCACTGGAGAAAAAATATGACAACAAATTCTTGGGGTGAACCAGTGTGACACAACTTAGTTTTTAACAACAACAACAACAATAATAATAATAGAGTAATAATAATAATAATAATAACAATAATAATAATTTTAATTTAGATAATTTTCGCTATTTTGGACGCTCGCTATTACGGACATGAAGTGACGGTCCCAAGGGTGTCCGCTGTAACGAGAGTTGACTGTATAAGTCATTTTACATGATGTAATCCAGGCCTAGATACTTACCAGAGGCTCAATTGAGTAAGGTCTGTGCCAGTTGATAGCCAGGTGTAGAGGAGTTCGGCCATGACGATCACGTGAGTTGATGATGTCACTGCTGCTAGGGAGCTTTTCAAAAAGTAGATCTAAAAGTTCATTCTTTTCATCTTTCTTTTCATGGTCATAATGGAGAGTAAGAAAATGGAGGCAAGAGAACTTTCCTAATAATAAAAAATAATAATAAAAGCTTACATTATTCATTARTGGATATACATAACTTTTCAATAGACCTCCTTGAATTGGGTATAATTTCAGACCACATGTCATTCTCTTGAGAATAAGATTATTTSTTTGAKTYGTATCCATATTCATGTGTCTTCTCATGTTCAACTGTTAAAAAACAGGAGAACATTTAATCCTAAAGGGAAAAAGCCTCAGTTTTTTTTTGTGTTCTCAATCACTCAAACAAACTTTGGATTGATCTAAGTATAGGTTAACTCACAGCCACAGATAAAATTGGAATTTAGGATGTTTGGTTTTGCACAAGGGGGAAAACCAAAGAAAAGAAATGAGTGAAGTGAAACTGTTGCAAGTGAGTGTGTTTTCCTCTAAAGATATGTATTGTAATGCAAAGATTTATTAATATTGTGATGCCAAAATGTTGTTACCTGTGACTCCATACTCATCGTCTTCCTCCTTCTCATCCTTTTTCCTGTTGACTCTCAAGCTCAATGTTTCTGGAGATCTTCTTTGAACCTACATTTATTATTATAAACATTGTTAACCTTACGATCATTATAATCAACACTTTCATCATCACCATCACTTTCATCATCATTGTCAACACTTTCATCATCATTATCATCATTACCATCATTAGAGTTAGAGAAATTMTTTAAAAAACGATTGTGTCAGATCAATTAAGATTGACAGGAATCTTCTTGCTTTGCTTGCTGCACTCACTCACAGATCGAACTCTGAAACATTACCTCTGAGCTGTTCAAAGTCAAGGCACAGCTGTAACTCAGATCAAACCCTGGAACAACCTCTGAGCTGATCTAAGTCAGGGCACAGCTAACTCACAGATCAAACCCTGGAACAACCTCTGAGCTGATCTAAG